TGCTGAAGCTGCCGAAGTAATTTTCTGCAAAATCACTTCTTTGAACTCCCTCTGGTTTAACAGAGGAACGATCCAGGGAAGCAGCCACTTTTCACGGTTGCACTGTCCTGCATCACCTGTAAAACGGTCCTGATGAGGCGCGGCGGGAAGGCGGGCATCCCGGAGCTGCTCTGTCTGATGCAGACGTGGATGAAATTCTGTGGAAACTTCAGCTTTCTCTACAGCTTTTCTTTTGGACAAAAGGGCTGGTTTGCTTGTTCCCCTGCCCCTAGGTGTGTTTCTACCAGCTGGGATCTCCCTCACTTTGAAGGCCACTTTACTTTCTGGTGGGCATCACAGTATTGGTTTCAAAAAAGGCATTTTGTTGTTGTGTAGATGTATGTTTGCTGTTTGAAAAGGCGGTTCATCACTGGCCTTTCCACGGAAGATGGTGCGAGGCAGCTCCATGAGCGACGTCACGAGGATCGCCGCGAGACTTCTGCAAGGAGATGGGGACGCGTGAGCCCGTTCCCATCGGCCAGCCCCTGCGGGTGTGTGGTGACAGAGCCGCGAGGTAGGTGACTGAGGGGGAGGCATCCTTGCCACGGGCCGTACGAGCTGCCTTCAGGTGGGTGATGGGTGGTTGGCCACAGGTAAGCCTGCACTTTGGTTGCGGGGCAAGGAAGGACCCGAAAAAGCAGATAGCAGCCTGTTTTCCTGCCATTGAAAACTTCATACAGACATTTGAACTTTCTATGCTGGCTTTCTCTGCCCGGGCTGCTCCTGATGCAGCCCGTGGTTGTGAAGCCAGCGTCCCGACTCCTACCCTCAGCAGGTAACAGCAGAGCTAAAATCATCGCAACCGGTCCCCTAGTACCCAGCTTTACCCTCTTACAAACTGGGCTTTGATGATCATTTTTCACTTTTGACTGATCCAAATAGACTTGGGAGTCCTGACTGAGTTACCTGTGCAAAGCTTCAAAACTGATGAGATTATCTGGTAAATGTTAAACACCGTTCCCAGTTAAAACACGGCCTCAGCATCTCCTCAGCCCACGAGTGATGTAGGGGTTGGATGCGCGCAGGAGGACAAACTCTCAAGGTTACTCTGTTACCCAGTGAGCTATTGCCTTTATTTTCAGCTGACGGTACTTTATGTACAGGGGACAGCAAGGAATTGAACCGAGTACCAAACACAGGGATACTCAACTCCAGCCCTTCAGAAGGTAAGACAGACGAGAAGTCATCCCACCTAAACTGGGAAAGCAGGGCTGGAGCTTTCCTTGGGTGGCAGGCAACTAATCTACCCGATTAAAAATTTATTTTTTATAATACGAAAGCTC